ATGACCTCCTGTTATTAATATAAGAGTTAATTATATTAGAGATTTAATGTGATTTTAAATATAAGATTTCAATTTACTTTATTCTTAATATTCATTCATTTTATCCCCAAATAATCTCTATAGCAATTGCAAATGTCAAGGAGATTTTATCAAGTGACACATGATTAATGGAAGTACTTTTGAGAAAAGAATGTCTATTGATTACAATTATCCACAAATTAGTTATTTAACTTTTATATGAAGGGTCCAAGATAGCATAAGAGCCAGTTGAGATGTTGAATTTAATTAGTCTTAAATAATATAAGACTTTAACCCACTTTGTTTCTTTTTTTTTTTTTTAAATATCCTTATTGATTATAAGGGGTTTCTGCTAAGAGATAATTTCAATCATCTAATATAATTGAAGATGATAGTTTAGGAAGACCAACACATATTTGTGACAAATAACTAACTTAAACTAATTTTTTTAATATTTTCAAATTAATTATTTAACTTTTATATTAAAAATCTGAGGTAGTATGATTGACTTCGGCGAATATTATTTTGCTTTCCTTACACAGTGATCTTCTTCTTTCTGCTTTGATTATGATTTATTCGCTCAGCTTTTCAAGGTCTTTTTCTTTTTGAGAAAATTGATAATTTGGTTCATATAGTTTTCACTGTAACTCAACCCTTAAACTTTGACTCATCAGTGTGACTCAATTCTTGTAAATTTAATTATCTTAAATTTTATTCTTTGAGTTTTATGAAATTTATAATTTTATATTCTAAAATATAGAGATTGAGTTGCATCAAATCAAAATTTAGGAACCAAGTTATGAGTTAATTACAACTAGTTAAAAATATTACGATTGAGTTGTTTAAAGTTTAGGGATTGGGTTACAATCAAGTTGAAAGTATAAGGACCAAAAAAGTAAGTTTCTCTTTTTTTCTATATGCCTTTGCATGTTACATGTGTCCACCATTTCTTATCTACAAGATAATGAAGAATATTTAAAGCATGAATTTATTTTTTAATCGACAACACTACTTTTGTCGCTTTGTCCCACTCCACGATCCGCACAACAAACCTTTCAATAATTCTGGTTCCATTAAGTTAGTTAGAAGAGAATATTTTATATTGCCACATTTTGTAATGTTTTATTCATTGCATGTGTATCACGGTTGAATATTAGTATAGTCGATAAAGAATATGATTCATTTTGCATAATGAAAGATATGGACTTAAATCCTATCAATATAAGAATCTTATCGGCAAGTAAATATATAAGAAACTCCGTAAGCATTCTTTCACTAACCACATCTGCCTGATTCTTGTAACACCTAAAACACGACCCACATAGACTTCAGTATTATTAATTGAAAAAAGACTAAATTATATAGCATATTTATAAATTTGGAACTATATACAAATAATGTTCTTAACATTTAAAGTTTAATAATAAACTCTCCTAAACTTTTAAACCTACGCTGATAACCTCAAACTATCCATTTGATATGCCTTTAAACTTTATTTTTGGTGCATATATCTTCTAAACTTTAAGCTATTATATGCGGATAAACACATTAAATTTTAAGTCACTTGCAGATAAATAAGGAACAAAACTAATATATGAGAGATATGAGCACAAATGCAAAGATCCACAAATGTTTATTGTAGGTTTCAAAGTTTAGGGAAATTTTGTATAATTTAACTAAAAGAAAAGCCATACAAGGAAGCCGATTTTTTCCCCATGATCCTTGTTCCACTTTTCATTATTCTGCGAGGTCGTCAACATTACGAAGCATATATATATTTTTTTCTGGGAATATGATTACGAAGCATATTTGAAGCATGCTTATATGCTTATAATTGATGATTAGGAATCTTTAAAACTCGATAAATTAATTGAGGAATGTGGAATTAATTAATCATATCGCTACAAGATCACAATGATTTAATAAGATAATGGTTCATTATGTGACCAATCCCATGACAGACAAAATCTATGCCACAAAGCTTGGAATCAAATTGAATATAATTAAATTTAGTGATGGCTTTCATCCTAAGTAAGTTAATTGATTGAGAATGAAGCTTTCTCGAGATCAAAAGAATGCTTAAACAAAGCCTCCTTTGAGTTTTTTTTTCCCAACAAGAAAGAAAAGGAATGTTTACTTTAGACATAAAACAAACAATCAAATTAAGAAATGGTTCGAATCCAATGATCAGACCTGTTTACATAGAATTGAAATCGTTAATACATATCATTTGCCAAATTCGGTTATCCAGAAAGGATCTTTAGTTTTTTCGGTACGGAATTTGTTTTACATTTCTCTCTCATTGTTTATGTAAAACAAAAAATTTACACTCTATTTAGATGCCCAAAAGATTCAAACATTAATAAGTGAACATAAAGAAGAAACTGTACTGAGTAATAAGTTCGATTAATTTGAAATGATTGTTTCTTTAAATTTGAAATTGATTGATTTTGTTTTGCTAAAGGAAAAAAATTAATGTTTGGAGGTCAAATTTTGAGCTCTACTCACACAGAGAGAGAGAGAGAGAGAGAGAGAGAGAGAGAGAGAGAGAGAGAGAGAGATGAATTGATGTTTTAATTGAGGGTTACATTTCTCATTTGTCCTGATTCGGCTACTCTAATGGATGAACTTGTTCCATTTAGTTACGTTATTTAGAAGGGAATAAAATATTTTTGACCATATATCTCTTTGTATAAGGAAAATATAACGATGAACAAAGCCCCACACAATTGGTAGATAGTTGGGTTTCTTAACATGATGTCCTAGTTTGAATAAGGTCATATGCATGGAAAAAGCTTTGTTGGCATAAGCAAAACCCACTTTGGGTGATCTCTATGCCTCGAGAAGACTAGTTTCTAGCTATGGCCTAGGGTATACCGCCTGATTTCTACCAAATTAAAAAAAGAAAACATAACAAATATTATTAGAGTTGGAAAACTTTATATCAATTTTTTTTACTTTCATCCTCATATTTGTTAGGAGAGGCAAAATCCACTTTGGTGATTACATCTCAGGAGGATTAGTCTCTAACTATTGACTGAGAGATACCACCTGATTTCTACCAAAAAAAGAAAACATAACGATATTATTAGAGTCAGATCACTTTTTTACTTTTATGCTCATATTTCCGCATTTTCTTTCTTTCTTTTTTTAACAAAGTATTGAAAACTGAATTTCCATCCATATACCATATTACGTTTTTGAGCTAAGTTGTTTCTTGCAGTTTTTCTCTCTTTGATTACAAAAGTATTTATTGCGTAGCATTTTTAAATTTTCATTTAATCTGATGTGAGTAATATCTTACAAAGACATAATTGTAATCTCGCTCTAAATATAAAAATATTATTAATAAATAATTTATAAATACTTTTTAGAACCTAATTGAATTTCTAGCTAGCTTTATATTTAGGATGAGAGGTAGTACAAGCTTCTTCTCCTTTGGTAACTCCACACAAGATCCCGCCTATGCATGATTATATTCTTTTGCAAGGCTGAGAGCTCTTCTTTTTGTTCCACTCATGATACACTGAATTGTGTTATTGGAATCCTTGCCGGCCAGATTATTTGAGTCAAGATCATACGTACTAGATAACTAGACAATAATCTCCTCGTAGATGTGTTCGTTAATAGCTTTGGTCCATTCATCAGAATACTGTTAGAATAAAATTCTAGAAATATCGTTTCCGAATTTATTACCATTAACACTTCATAGCTTTTATTCGCAAGTACCACAATAATGAGAAATGCAAAACATTAAAAGTCGCAGACAACCAAGCCTAATCTTCAGCTTTATTACTATCCATGCAGCTTCGGAATAATAAAGTTTTCGTCGCCTAGTATCATAACCAATATCATCCTCTGACTCTAGATGTCTGGAGAACATAAATAGGAAGGCTAAAGTTTATCGTAATCTCGCTAACTGAGAACAAATTATAGGCCATTCCTTTTAGTGGAGAATCTGATACCGGCAACTCGATCATATGCACGTTAGAAGAAGAACATCGATTTGTATCCACTCATGAAGCTTATCCAACTTGAAATGGGTACGGTACGACCATGACCCATGCAAAGACCCGAGTCCAGAGTCTATACATCACTGATCTCCCTCATTCAAGCTAAGCAAAAGCCCGGGGGGGGGGGGACAAAAGAAAACCCACATATCAGATCTGAACAGTTAAATTTAAAAATTTCAAATGACAATTTTTAAATGAAAAAATCACTGTTTAAAAAACTAACGGTTAAAGTATTATTTTCAGTCTAGATCTTGTATCCATTAAAAGAAAAAAATTAAAAGCAAAAGTGCAAAAAAATTAAATCTGAATGGTACATAATTGCGATGTGCACCTAACATAATATAAAATCCCAAATTTTAGACCTAAAAATACAAGAAATAGCCTGAAATAGATAGCATATTTGTTTGTGATCTTGTGTAATAACAAACAAGCTATCCATTTCAAGCTATTTTTTATACTTCTGGGCTTAAAATTTAGGATGTTACACCTAAACTAAAAAGATTCCATGAGTAATTGAGCTAAAGTAATAAGATTCCCAAATTTATTCGGCAATAATCTGAAATCATGGGAATGAGATAAGGTGCTCATCTGTGTGTGTGTGTGTGTGTGTGTGTGTAGGGCTTACTCGTACAAGCCAAAAGAGAGGCAAATTAAGAAAATTCAGAAGCATGGATAAAGCAAACAATCACAAATTGGGAACGAAAGCAGTGTTCGTGGGAAGGCCTGGGTTTGATGAAGATCGAGTGAGGGCGAGATTGTGGAGAGACACTAACAAGGAGCAAGGTCTGAGCAGGGAGAAGCTCGAGAAAGCATTTGAGGAAATGGGTTCACGCTGGCCATGGTCCAGACCTTGGCTTTGCATGCAAAAAACCGACGACAACCATGACGGAAAAATCAGCTCCTCCGAGGAGGAGCAGCTTGTTTCTTTTGTCATGAAATGGTACGATGCAAAAAAATAAACGCTAATACGACTCTTTCATACGGCAGCACTGTAGCGATATATATGCTATATTTTCTTCTTTGAATTAAAGGAGTAGACGGTAATGGCCTGAAGTTATATAAAGGGTTGGAATCTGCAAGCTCCTACTTGTAGGAGAGTATTCATGCTATTAGATTATAAGGTTTTAATTATGTAGCCTACATCTATATAGTACAAACACAGCCCTTTCATATGTAATGATGTCATCTTTTTCATAAACACTTGCAAGTGGTTCCATGTGTGAAACGTAAATTGAGGCTAGCTTATTGGACCAGGGCATGCCTTCAACTGATGATTTTGGAGGTTATGAGTCAATTTCTTATTAACTGGACTCTACTGGACAATTTCTTTGTCGATGTTTTCGTTAGTAGCTTTGGTCCACTCGGAATACAGTAGTGTCAGAATAAAAGTTTAGAAATATCGTTCATGTGAGAGAGTGTTGCAACTTTAGCAAGTCCTCGGATATTTATCACCATAAAAAGTTTGGAGCTTTTCTTCGCAAATACCATAATGAGAAATTCAAAACATCAAAATTCGTAAGCAAGTCTACTTTTTCAAATGACTAAAAGATAAATGTCCTAAACACTTGTGACACCACCATGCCTCGTCTTCAGCTTTAATACTATCCATGCGCTGAAATTGCAGCTTCAAAATAATACAGTTTTCCTCGCCTAACACCATAACCACTATAATCCTCTGACTCTAGATGTCTGGGCGGGAAAAAAAAAAAAAACAAAAAGAAGAAGAAGGCTCCAAGGTTATTGTAATCTCACTAACTGATGAAAAATTATAATCCAACGAAGGGACAAGTAAAACAGTATCAAGAGTAATCATATCTGTTAGTTTTATCTTAGAATTAAAAGCATCATTCTTCACATGATCCATAGCACCTGTCTCTGTTATCACGAAGTGTTCAAAGCAAAACAAAAGGCTTACCACTTTGACGAGTTCATATCGTAGTACGCACCTAAGGGTTGTCCATTCTTTCTCGGTGGAGAATCTGATGCCGGCAACTGATATGTGCGTTAGAAGAAGAATATCGGTCTGTATCCATTCATTAAGCTTATCCAACTTGAAACGGGTTCGCTACGATCCATTAACCATGCAAAGACCAGAGAGGCTATATATCACTGATCTCCCACATACAAGCTGAGCAAGAAAGAAAGAAAAAAGAGAAAGAAAACTTACAGAAAAGCAGAGAGGGATCAAAAATCAAAATAAGGTAAAATGTATCTAAATGAAATGGTGATGCCCTTCTGTGACAAGACGATGATGGCTCTCGGGTCATCATCAAAACCAAAGTCTTCAATATCAACCAAAATCCTCATCAAAGAGCGAGCGGAGAAGAAATTGAAGGAAGAAGAAGACATTATTAACAAAGATGGGAGTCTGAACAAGAAGGAGTTTATGAAAGCATTAGATAAGATCGTTCCAAACGTGGCACTGTACTTAGCCTGGCATTACACACAAAAATCCGACACCGACAGCGACGGCAAAATCAGCTTCTCAACCGAAATCGAATTCCTCACTACTTTTCTCAGCATGAAGTACGAAGCTAAATTCCGAATTATGCAAGTCCTTGGTGATATCGCCTTTTTTCTTAAATAATTCTTAGTGGTTTCATATGTATGATGATGATGAGCGCTGTGTAGGAATATGTGTGTTGGGTTATTATATTAGTCACTTAAGATTAGCTCAAATAGTAACAATAAGGCGGGATGACGTGAATAGAGATGTCCAATGTTGAAACCCTTTGAACTGTGATGTAACAAGGAAAAGAAGAGTTATCGTTTTGTGGTAGGTTTCCTTTCTTAATTAAGACAACTTCCTCATCGGTAATTCCCTTTTAAGTTTTCACAACTTTCCCGATAAACATTATATACGCCTTCTCATGTGTGGTAAATTTAATTAAGAATATAAATCATACTAATTATGATTTATAATTTTGTTTGTAGATTTCATATCATATATATCGATATCGATTCATTTGCTACTGAATGATAGAAAGTGGATTTTCCCTTGAATATAATCCTGATCTGTAGATTTTCTTATTTCTTGGCAAGAAGGGAATTTAATTGACTTAATTGTCTATTTTCAAAATGTTTCAACTCATGGTTTGAGGAAAAATTATTGTCAAGATGGATAAATATAGGAATTGATTAGGTATATTTACTCATTAAACAAAAAATGGTATTGGAACTGTATGATAGCAACTTAATTGGCTTTCAAAGTGGCCAAAATGAAAAAAAGGTCTAAAATGATATTGTAATTTGGTGCTTTCCCACAGGGATATTTTAGAGAATGAATTATAAATTTGAAAGACAAAGTAAATTGGGATTTTATATGTTAAACCAAATTTAATTCCTAATTCTTATATTAAGGATTGGAGGCGTGTAGTATATTTTTCTTGAGTTATATCCACTCTACAGTTTACTTGGATGTATTTTGGATACTTATTATAGAAAATTATGCATAATAGGATTTAAGCTTAATCATTGAAATTCCTGACTTAACTGTTTATTTAAATTGGAATCTCTTAGATTTTTCCTCTCTTGCTAGGTGATTTGAAGCTGAGACAAGATTGCATGGAGTTTTCCAAAGAGCTTTGGAAACATGAATTCCATGAAAACACAAAGAGGGCGAGAAGAAATTGGCCAAGGCCATCACGCATGTTGGCTGTAGCCAAACTAGGGCAGAATTAGAGCACCCAACCTTAGGCTGATCTGGTTATGACCAAAAGCCATTGATAAATAAAGCCTTGTCCCGAAGCTCTCAAAAATACTAGAATTAAGCTATGCAAACAATGGCTCAACCCTAAGTCGTGTCTTTGAGAAGGCTAGTTTCTTAGAATTTTAGTTTGTTAAGTGCTTAAACAAGTTAACAGCCGCAAGTGGTGATTTGACTCCATAATTAATGCTTCTAATAATTGATTGGTGGCCGGCCACGAAATAGTTATTTTGTTTATTTGAATGAACCTTTAGAAAACTAGCTCTAGCAAAAAACTAGCCACAAATGGAGGGCTTTGTTAGCAAGAAAGAAATATGCTTGTTAACCTTACACAGCCGCATTAGCGGTGGATCTTAAAAATTTGGTCTTGTTATTGCAAAAAGACTGAGCAGCTAAGTATGAATATGCCCTATTATTTTGACCTTATATTATTATATATGAAATTTGACATAAACATAAAGACATAATATTTGGGAAAAAGGTCGCTATACATTTTCTCAATTTTCAATTGTTGAAGATAAACAATGATAATCCAATTTCTTAAAAAAAAAAATTGTTAATACCGTCAATCATATCTATTTTAACATGTAACATCTATTAATTTTTTTCTTAATATTTACATATGGAATAAATAATATGGTTCAACATTAATTTACCGCAATGCACTGCAAAGGAATTGTTTTAAATTCACTAATAAGTTGTTGATTGAAGTGGTAAATAGCCTTACCTCCTTTAGGAGGAAAACAAATAAGTTTGAATCTTGGGAAGCATACTTGTTAGGAGGGATTTAATTTTGAACGCTCCCAACCTTGACAATGTTTAGTCTCAAATCTAAAATAACTTAAGGATACCCTAAATTACACCTAAAAAAAGAACTGCTATAAATTCTGTCCCACAATGTCTAATTTGTTATATATCCCAACAAATATTCCTTTTTGGCCAGAATAAAAAACAAAACGAATAAAAGTGCCTAGAATCTGTATGCAAGTGCTTTCCGGAAAGGCAGGTCCGGCAGCACTCCGCAGTGATAGACCGAACGAGAATTCCTTTATTTGGTGGGTCCCTGACGAACAAAATAAATAATATACCCTGTGGTAGGATTCCATAAATAACTGAGCTAAGATTCCAAATTGATTAGGCAAGAAATTGACATCAGCGACTCATATGTAAGAAGAAGAATATCGATCTGTATCCAGTCATGAAGCTTATCCAACTTGAAACGGGTTCGGTACGATCCATGACCCATATGCATGCAAATTAAAGACGCCAAGACCCGAGTCCAAAGGCTCTATATGTGTGTGTGTGTGTGTGTGTGTGTATGTATATTACTCTCCCTCATACAAGCCAAGCAAAAGCAACAAAGAAAAAGAGAAGTCACATAAAATTGAAGCAGCAGAGAGGGAAATCAGAATCAGGTAAAATGACAATTAGATTACCAAAATCAGTGTCACCCAAAGTGCTCACAAGAGAACAAGTGATGGAGATATTGAAGGAAGCAGACGTGAACAAGGACGGAAGTCTGAACATGAAGGAGCTTAAGAATGCATTACAGAAGATCGGTTCGGACTTGGCACTGTACAGAGCTTGGCGGTGCATGCGAAACGCCGACACCGACGGCGACGGAAAAATCAGCCTCTCAACCGCCGAAATGAACTCCCTCATTTCTTATGTCATGAACTGGTATGAAGGCAAACTCTCAAATATGTAAGTCTCTCTAATATGGCGCGCCGTAGCTGAAGCTGAGGACCAGATGGAGAATATAATTATAAATTATAAATCCCATGTATATAACAGTTCTTAGTGGTTTAATTTCATGGATGAGCTTCTATGTAGCATGTGTGCTAGAGGTATAATAACGTGATAGTTATTATTAGTCACTTAAGACTAGCACAAATAGAAATAGAAACAATAGGGTGGGATGACACGAATATATGTTCAGTGTTCTAACCCTCTGATGTAACAAGAAAAGGAAGAATTGGCAAAAGCAAAAAAGAGGAAAAGAAAATCACGGCTGTGGTGGTTTCATTTCTTTTGTTGTTTTTCGCAGAAAATAATAATATATGGCTATTTTTTCAAGTGTTCATAATAATAATAATATATGACATAATAATACTACCTTTAGTCATTAATAGAAGACCCACCAATTGACAAATTTGGGAAGACTAAGAAAGCCAAATAAATTATTTTAAAGTATTTATATTTATCATTTTTCTGCAAACTAATTTGCCTAATTTATAAATTGATACATAATCTAATGATATATATAAGTATTTTAGAGAAATCATGTAGTATATATTATAGTTAAACAATTTATTTAGCTTCTTTAATTTTTCCAAATTAATTAACTGTGTTTTATATTAAGGAGTGAGGCTAATAATTATATTATTTGGCCTGAAATAATAATATATGGTTCACGGAAATAATAATACTCCTTCGATCCTAAATATAAGACTCATTTTTTAGTGTAAATTACACTATAAAATGGGTCTTATAAAGATAGGAGGGAGTGCATGGTTTCTTTCTTGAAAGTTGAGACCTTCCTGAACCGCACGCAATTCTTTTTTCAAGTTTTCATAGCTTTTCCAATGCTCCATGCCTTTTTCTTTTTCAAGAAAAAAACTGAACATTATAGGCTTTCTCATGTGTGATAAATTTAAGAAATAAATCATACTAATTATGACTTATAATTTTTTGTAGATTTTATTTTATATATTGATATTGATTCATTTACTGAAGGATGGACAATGAATTTTCCCTTATCCTCTATGTGGACTCTTATTTCTTCGCATGAAAGGAAAGGAGTCTACTTAATTACTTGAAGCTGAGACAAGTGCATGGAAGCATCCAAAGTGCTTTGGAAGCATGAATTGCACACAGAGAGAATATAAAATCTTTTAACTATCTCTTTTTACCAACTATAATACTACCTCTAGTCTTTAATATAATAATTAGTTTGACGTTCAATTCAGTCATAAATATAAGACTCCAAGCTATTTTAGCTTCTATATTTATCTATATTTTCCCAAAATAGTTCTTACAGTGATAGTACATATTAAAGATTTTCATAAAAGGATAAATTTAATTCATATTATTAGTAAAAGTATTTTAGAAAAAACAATAATTATTTAGATAATTAACTTTCTTAATTTTTCTAAATTAATCAACTAGCTCTAAGTACCGGAGGTAGTAAATAATAACAATATTGAAGTCGGCAAAGTGTAGACGTCACTTCTTAATTTACTATGATAATTATCTTTAATTGCCTCATTTTTTTGTGCTCATCCAGAGTATTTGAAATTTACATTTCCATCCACACCCCATCTATTAATTACGCGACTTGTTTTTCCTAGGTAGTATTTGTTTATGAACCGTCTATAGAAGCTAATATGGGCAGTTTTCCTTTTCTAGCTGGAAAGTCAATAAGTCAACCATGTGAGTCGGTCAAATGGTTGGTCATCCTTTTGATCTGTGTTACTTTTTGAGTTCTAAATGCAAGACTTACTTTATAGTGTAATTTATATTATAAAATAGGTCTTATGACCAGATGAGTAATACATTTTCTAAATGTAAGACTTACTTTGTAATGTAATTTATACTATAAAATAGGTCTTGTGACCGGACCAGTAATATGTTTTTAGAATAGTTGGAAATTTTAATTATTGATGGTACTTGAAAATAGTCATCTAAAAATGGCCCCATTAAGGAAGTAATCATATTTAATCATTTCTATTCTCTCACGGAGGCCAATAAAAACCAAAGAATAATCTTTAGGGAAGTCAATTTTTAATCTGTTTTAATTGCTTGCAAAATTATGAAAGGATGATCCTTATATAATTTTCTGTCACAACAGGAAAAATAATATACATATTCCTATGTCAAAATTGACACATAAAGACAATAGACTATCCATCAACTACCGAAGCAGCTAGAAGGTTAACCAAAGATACTCCTCCAATCTTTAAGATTACGCATCTAGCCATCTCGTCAGAGACCAACGAGAAGTGATTATATCATTAATTTTGTTTTAAAATGGAATAAAATTTTTTATTTTACCCATATTTAAATGAAAATTTTCCAATTTTTATACATTCTCTCGTTATTAGTGACTTTGAATAGGGGTGATATTAGAAAAATTTAATTGATACCATACCCTATAAAGTGACTCATAATAAGGAACATCAATTTCTTCTATAAGATGCCTTAAGGCGCATACTAATTGATGACTTCTCAACCATCTAATATATACCATTTGAAAGGAAACGTGTGTAAGATCTAAACTCACCATATGGTAAACTTCCTGTATGACAAAGGAGAAAATAGGGGCTGATCTGATCTTGCTCCTCCCTTTCGTCAATATAATGCGCTAAGGTTTTCAGAACATATAGAGTTGTAAATTTTAAATTTCACTTGTAGACGTGTGCCTTCAAAATAATCATGTAAATTTCTTAATTAAGAACTGGTCAAATTGATTTGGACCGCATAATTGTCCTGAATAGATTTGAAATTGCTTAAGATTTGGCCTCTGCATTATTGTACTACATGAGGAATGTAACAAATGTGTAATTCATAGAGACATCAAATCATCATGATAAACTATGATTTCACTACAAAACTTGGATATTTCAGATTAGCAAGACTTGTAGACCATGGAAAAGGAGCACAAACTACAACTGTGGCGGGAACTCAAGGTTCTATGGCTACTGAGTATGTCACTACTGAAAAGAATAGTAAAGAATCTGATGTATACAATTTTGGAGTTATTGCTTTGTAGATAATATGCATGTGGAAGAAAACCTATCAATTCTGAGGCTCCAGAGGACGTAAAGAACTTAGTGAAATAGGTATGGGATCTCCATGGATTGGGAGAATTCTAGCAGTTGATCCAAGGCTACGAGGAGATTTTGAGCAGGATCAAGTTCAATGCCCTGATGATCATTCGGTTGCGTTGTGCTCATCCTGATCATAACCATAGGCCTTCAATAAGGCAAGCAATTCATGGCTGAACTTTGAAACTCCATTTCCAAGCCTTCTTCAAGTTATCCTATGCTATCGTACGTGTCATTTTCCGTTCTATCCAACTCCAATGCTTCAGAGGCAACACAAACTCTTCTGGTTTTGCTGCAACTTCTAGTGGTATTGTTTCACCAAGCGTGTCACGTACGTGTAGTACTCGCGCAAAAATTAATCACGGTCATTGTATGTTTCTTGTTACTGCGCAAAAATTAATGTTTCACCAACTTCTACTCAATGATCTTGTTGGATGTTTACCTTGAGTTTCTACAATGTGTTGCTTCTTTGTTAAGAAACAATAGAGAAGCTTCATTTGAATAGTATTGTCCGTTCGTGCTCATTTGTTCATTCCACTTGAGAAAGTGAAAACAATGACGGGAAAATTTTACAACTGTAATATGGATAAAAGGATATTATTACACAATCTAAGCTACATATACCTGTACGTAATTTTAAGTGTGTAGTAATTTATCACTTTTACGAGGCCTCTTTTAAAAAGTTTTTTTTATCCTAAAACGAAGGCTTTGCATGAATATTTTTTTCAAACAAAAAATATCCGTTGTCTTGGAAATAGAGATTAATTAAATAGAACATGAATTCATAAAATGGATAGGGACGGTTTTAAAATCTCCTTAACATTTGATCGATTCAATTTTTAGTACCTTGAGTCTGTGCAATTCAGTTATTTCAATCTATGATCTATTTTTTCTAAAGACGAATTAAAACTCCCAAACACAACGGGACGGTGTCTTGGGTCTGAATTTGGCATCACGTGCATTTAATTGTACCTCCGATCTTTAATATAAGATCTCATTTGACTTTTACTTTAATCCTAAATATAAGATCCCAATCTACTTTGTTTGTTATATTTATGTTTTTTTTCAAAGCAGTCTTTCTACTAATAGTAATTCTAGCCAATATTCTTAATTAGTAAGGATATTTTAGGACAAATAAAACCAATTTATCACAAATAACTAACTTAACTTATTTTTTTTAATCTACTTAAATTAGTCAACTTGTTATTATAAGGACTGAAAGCGATATTAAATAAAAACAACATCCGAACACAATCCAATGCGAGTTGCTCGGACAAGTGAGTGGAATGATAAAATTGACTTAACTAAACCGAAGTACAAATACAACAATCATCATGCTGTAGCAAAGTCTCCAATAAGAAATAGCCTTATTGCAAACCCAATAATTCCTAAATAGCATCGGACACAAAATATGCAGTCGAACGCCTCGCTTCTCTCTTGCTTAGAGCCCTGAATTTATTAATTCCTAAATTTCCAGCTCCCCAGCTCGCTTTTGAAAACCCTTGTTTGCTAATTTATTAATATCACTTGTATTAAAGTTGCAGCCATAAAATGTAACACCTTAATTTTCTAGACCATCTGCGTCAATTTACGATAACTTTGAACCACTAAGCCAGGTTTGATCCTGAG